GCCTGGAGGAGGATTATTTGAAAACATATATAAATAAGTGCAGTGATAACGAAAAAGTTTTGTTTTAGCAGCGAGCTTTTCAAAATACCTGTGATAAAAAATCGTCTTCAGCGTGGGATCATGGGATGTTGCCCCGGTCAAAATAACGTGCTTGATATTTGACGTATAAAATGGTATGATGTTATTTAGGTTTTGCATTAGCAAGTTTTGGTTGGATTGGGCTGAGCGGCGAGATCTATCCGCAATTAATGGGCAGGGGGGTCTTTATGAAATTTCTCTCGAAATTGATTTTTAAAGTTGTTTCTAATAGAAGGGGAGTGAAATCTACCTGCTACTTGGTCCCATGGAAAAAATTTTGTTCCTAGCCGAAAATTATTGCCGGTCAAAGTTCAGCAAGCGCTCAATTGTTATTGTATTGCGCGGAGCGATTTTCAAACGCGCGGCCCTGCAATCGAGTCTAAAAATCCATCTTCCTCCTACATTTTTTGAGCAATCAATCACCTTGAAACTTTCAGGATAAGTATCTAAGGACCTGTTAGAACTTTTGCTTGTTTTAGGAATATCGAGATATGCTTTACAAAAATTTTTTATTCGATTTTGAAACTCTTCTCTTGGACCCCCCCCTCCCGTCCCCCCCCCCCTCCTCCTCGTTTTTTGACGAATTTTTCAGGTCCAAGATTTTCAAAATCGAAAAAAAATTTAAAAGGCCTATCTCGAAATTTCTAAACGAGCAAAAAAAAAAAAAAAATTATTCTAAATGGTCAATAGAACTTATCCTGAAAGTTTCAAGGTGATTGCTCAAAAAGATGTAGGGAGAAGATAGATTATTTAGACTCGATTTATCCAGAGGCGCGCATTGAAAACGCTCGCGCAAATACAATTACACATGAGCGCTGACCTTTGACCTGAATAATTTCGGCTAGGAAACAAATTTTTTCGCATGGACCCAAAAATAATCTGGTAGAATCACCCCCTCTATCAGAAACAACTATAAAAAATCATTTCGAGAGAAAATTGCATAAAGACCCCCCCCCCCCCTGCCCCCTTAACAAGTAAAATGGACGACATCGGACCCCCCCACATTTTATTTTTGGTCGAATTGTCGAAGTCCGTGGTGTGCTTTGTTGTGGCCTTGTGCAGTATTATAGTAGCGGTATTATATCAAGGTGGGCATAGTGACTACTGACTGGCGTTGGGCGATTGCACCTAACATTACACCGGTAAGAAGTTTCCAATAGTCCTCGATTTATGGTATCAATCAATAAATTCCACTTCGACATGCGGCAAAACTTTCGAGAATGCACCATTTCAAGATTAAGGTTGGATAATATAATCTGCAGAAACGTCGAGACAATCAAAATAAAACACATATCCGCCTGATATCTCTTCCTTTAAGAGATAAGGTTAGTTCACAAATCAACGGGCAAGATTATCAACTAAAAATAACTAATATGCAATTAAGTTATGAAATATTACCCATCGTTCATTATATGTTATTGTAACTTACAGTTACATTATTCAACGTTTTAGAGAGTTTATTCATGAAATATAAATATCAGTTGGTCAAAATCATATTTTCAGGCGTAAGGGATTTTGCTTTACGAGCTTTGTCGCATTGAAAAACCAGCTTTCAATGCATCTAATTTGGTAGTTTTTTCTCTAAACGTGAACCGTAACTTCAGATAATAGTAAAACACACCAGACGGACATGTAAACTGTTCTAGGTGCGATATATTTTGGTAAAATAGTGCGATTCCGCACCCGCCCACAAACTTCATTATGAGCGGCAGATTTTGGACAAAAAACATCTGCCAAATTTTCAGTCTTTAAGTATTTAATTCGGTTTGATTATTCAAGTTCAACACGTAGTATTATAAAGTGTTGCCTTATATTACACTATTGTTATATTTTAACACGACAATTCAAGATTTTCGGCATTTTTAGTTTATTTATCGGACTAAGTTATACCAAGATTCTTCCTACTGTATTAAAAAACGATTAAAAAAATATCTGCTAAAATTGTAAAAGGACGCCCAAAAAATTGACAAATATTGCCAAGGTTTGTCAGTAGCTTTGTAGGTTCATAAAACAATAGAGATCTGCCTGTCCGTTACTAATAACATTCGATAAGGTAATTGAAGTAAGTAATCAATATTATTACTTTTAATAAACTAAAAAGACCTTCACAATGCAACATGAAGTTCCTACTCCTAGTCCTACTCATTGTGTATTTGTGCACGTTGGCGACTACCTGAAGTAAAGTGAGTCAATTTCATCTGTCCGACCGAATTGCGATCCAGCTTGACTATTTTACAAGTTTATTCAGTTGTAAAAATTTCACCCCCATTTGCCGGCCGGCCGCAAAAGGCCCGGCCATCTCTACGCGCCGAGAGATGGCCGGCTTTTGCGGCCCGGCCCGCTAGCGGCGCGATCAATGGTCCAAACACACACAATAGTCACGCAGAATTGATCTCACGAGAATTATCTCAGATTGAAATAACGAATATACTATGAGGCTCTCACCTGGCCCAGTGTACGTGGCCCAGTAAATATAATCCTTACGATTGTCAATCTCATATTCATCAGCGTGGCACTTTGAATTTATTACGATGTTTACAGATTGATCACGAAAACCACCACCAGTGACCTGATCTTGCCATGATAGTGGAATCTGCTAGATTGTAAACTAAATATATAACCATATTTATTATGCAACCAATCATATTCAATTATTTAATCAAATCGCGGGCAATAAGTCTGATAATTTTTACATAGATTTAGAATCTAATCTACAAATTGAAGAACGGTTGACAAATTTAATCATAAGCATTCTTGCTCTCATAAGAAAGAACTGTTGTATTGTGTTTTTCATTAGAATCACCAAACAATCTCGGGTACTTCGAAAGAAAGTCTTGAGACTTTGAAAAAAATATCTTGAAAACTGTGCGAAACATCTGTGTGACATAAGTCAGGTAGCTGTGTTAACAAGATAGTGAAAGGAAGTACGAGAACGAAATCCCATGATGTACTCAAACGTGGTGAAGATGCTGATCGAGAAGAGTTTGCAGAACTCCGCCGAGTCCCGGCCCACGTAATAAATATTCTAAATTATTTTTATTTGGTGGGTAATACTGATCTCAAGGAAAGAGAGTCGGTTTTCATCTTGGGAGGCAAACAGTTTGGCAGGAAGACTAAGGACGTAAAGTTTATTTCCAAAAATGAGAGCCGATATGGTAACTCTGTCAAATAGATTAACGCGAGATGAACGCTCGAGTGCAATCATGAACTTGGTCGGTCCTTTCTTATTAAAAGATTATTCTATGAACAGTAAAATGTTAAGACTCATACTAAGAATAATAGTATATAATTCATTGCATTCTCTACAAAATCCTTTTAATATTCTCCCCCTCTCCCTATTCTGTCCTCCCCGAATGATGAATGATAAAACTAGATTGAACAGCAGATTCCACGTTCGCGATCGCCAATTTGAATTATATTCAACTTTATAGAGATTAGTTCTGCACTGCCTAAGATCCTTGTCACAATAAAAATGACAGTAACACACGTTAACATCGAACGTCTATCCTAATCTGCCAGAAGTAAAGGAACAACTTTCCGTTTTACATCACCGACAAAGAAACTGAAAGACATACGTAAATTTCATGATTTATTTGAGAAATGACGATTAAAGGATGGCAAAAACTCTAGAATTGGCTACTCTAGTAGCTATTTTGAGAATCATTTTACCTGTAGCTGTGCGTGCTCCTTATAACAGGCTGTTATGTAGAGAATTACTTTAGTGTCCAGTAAAATTGGTTTCGTTGGAATGATGGACAGGGTTTAATCCTGCCTTCCGAGACATTAAATGGCGTTATAGAGTCTGCGACAACTGCTTAAACTGTCCCTTCATTCTGTCAATGAAATAATGAAGGAACTAACTGGGGGTGTGTCTGGCAACTGACAAGGTGCCAATCAGCACATTCCCGGTCTCTCTAAGACTAGGTAATATAAATTACACGTGATACTGATCACGTTGGTAAACTGATGGATTTAGGATGTTCAGCACAGTAGCATGACACCCATCTCAACTGGGGACCAAGATAAGATAATGACAAAACAATAACAAGTTACTTGGACCTTTCAAATAGATTAACCCTCGCCTTATCGAAAGAATTAGAAGGTTCGGAAATTTTCCCTGAGCCCGCCCCAGAGGTCGTACTGTACCTCATTCTAATTGATGGTGATACACGTTTTTCAGATCACAAATTTTTTTTATCAAGACACTTATTTTACTTCAGGTTTAATCCAACAGCCACATTGTTACACGAAGTGCAACCAGCCAATTTGAACAGGAAGCCAAAGGAATTTTATCTGGCCCATTGACGGATTAAGGAGTGTGTACCATACTTTCTTTCGCCCGAGACTTGTGCTGCACTTGTGCAGCTCTCATTTAACCCTCACAACCCGATTTCTCGAATATTCGGCTGAGTAGAACGGGGGCCTGCATAGACCACTCATGATCCATAGCTGAACGTCAACGACGCCCGCCCCACACCCGAGGCAGACAGTGGGATTTTAACTCGCAACCTTACGATTGTAAGGCTGGCGTTCTATAACCAACTGGCGCTACCTGGCCGTTAATATATTACGAAAAATTAAATCCCAATTCTATACAAGGAAATCTAAACTTAAAAGATTTAATTTTTAGTTTTTTGTGATTATTTACTTTTTGATTCAGAAAAATTGGGTGTGTGTAAGAATTAACGACAAGTATATCAAAACAATTATCCAATTTAACGCAATATAAACTATAAGCAATACAATCTAATGCAATATAAACATACATGTAAACCCTATCAAAAAACAAAACTCACAAAAGAACATTTCAAATTTCTTTAGTGAATTACAAAGATTAAACAAACTTTCTAACTCTCGAGAAGAATAGATAGCTTAAAAAAAACAGTTAAAATCACAGATACCTGTTCATGTCTCATTTCCAGACGTGTTCAATACTCAAACGCTAATAAACAATTGTTTCATGCTGGATCAGTTTTACTTCTCACTCAGCCTTCATCTTCAGCTCACACCCGTCAATCCACAACACCCTCTTCAAATGTTCTCTCAACATCAACTCAGCAGGAGTCAGGATATTATCCAGACAGATCCCTCTTAACGGAGAGGTCGGTGTACCCTCGTATACACACACACACTTGGGCAACTCAGGTCGAACACTGAGATCCACAATGTGTAGTCGGTGTGTTCATGTATTGTCACCATTTTCATCAACGTAGTGGGCAGAACATATTCCTTGGGGATATCAGCAAGTCGTTCAACTTGTAACCATTCGAGTCACGTCTTGTTCTGCATTCTTTGTCTTGCCGCTGTGAGTGGCCATGGTCGCTGCCTTGACGAAGCGACTGGGTGATCAGTAATCTCCTGGTGTCCAGAGAAACCTGTTCCAACCTTTGGGTTCATCATTGTTTTTGTCCTTTGTGATGAATATTTGAAGCCTCAACTCTGTTCGCAGCATGGTAGGGTAGTTCATCAGGTTTCGTCATGTCCATTCGTAGTCTGAGAGTTGGTCATAGCTCCGATGAGTGTTCTCGCAGTACTTCATTCCGTGCTTGGTGTAATCAAGCACCAAAGCTGTCCAGTGACTCGTGGAAAAAAAAAAAACGTAGTGTAATGGAACAGACCTCCAGTCCAAGATCTCCTTTGGGTCCAGACCTTTGGGAAGACTTTGTTCTTTCAAATCCTTCCTCGCTGTTTTTAACCGTATGTAACATAGCCAGGACGTATGATGCTAATTTGGTCTGTGGGATGAATCTTGTCCACATTCTTCCTTGATGGAAGCAGGGTCTTTGAATGGTCGTATTCGGTGAGATTAAGGGTACTGGCAACCATAACCTTCACTGTTGATTCCTCTAGATTGCTGTTGCCCATACATTATGAAACGATACCTTGAACCTCAATACGTCAAAGTCGCTCTCCAAAGACAAAAGGATCGTCCACAGTTTTACAGTGAGGGGCATCACGTGTTTCTGTGTCCCTGCTGGCTTCTGTCACGATAGAGTTGCTGCGTGGAACTGGAACCTCACAAACTCCAAACTCCGTCCGACCCAAGACACTTCCATCATCTGCCATGAGTCGAATGTTCGTGGCATGAGAGCGCCAGGAGGAGGAGGGGTTGCTGCGAATACTTGGACCAACATCTTAATTGAAATCTGGAGGGTTTAGGCAGCTTTATAGAAACCAAACGATGAAAGGAATTACTCCGACCTAATTATCTCTAAAGCTGCTATAATTTCCTCCCTCTAAGTAATTAGGCTTGTGTGCTGCAGATGCTGAATGGCGTAAAGACCACGAACAAACCTCCTGGCATAGACATACTGATTGGATTCCTAACGATAAACATAACCCATATAAGATATAGAGGATAGTACCTGACTAGTAGCTATTTGCTGAATCGGACGATGGGGTGATCCCAGGTCGTGAATGCTGATTTGATTGTAATTTACTGCTTCGGTTCTAATTGTTCCCTAATGGGCTATTATTGTGAATAACCTGTACCCAGTAAAACTTGACTAATGAAGCAACTCGATTCGATCAGGACTAGCCAGGATTCTTCTTTGAGGGGGGCCTGTCGCGAGCAAGCGAGCCGACCGTCCAATCAAGCTGCGAAGCGAGCCAAGCTGTGGCAGGGGGTCTAGGGGCGCAGCCCCCAGCGGGTCCCAGGGGGGGGGAGCCCCATGGCGGGGCTAGGGGGGCGCAAGCCCCACGAAATTTTGAGTTTGCGAAACAGGGTGTTTTAGACACTTTTGGCAGTAAAGAAATTTGTTAGGACAGCAATAAACTGGGATTTGACAAGAATCAAGTACTCCGAACATTTGGTAACTTTCACAACAGCAATCTGCATTCCTCCAATCAGAATTTACGACTTACCTCATGCCTCAATCGTCTTAAGATATTTTACATTCCTACGGTCTAGGGGTAAACTATTGTCTATAATTATAGAAGTCTTCTAGACTGTTTGCTTGGATTTTAATGACATATTATTTACTATTCCACCAGATTCAAATCTTGTTGACTGACTGCATATAAACACAGCCCAGTTACCAGGCGACCATGGGCTAGGGGGCTTTATCATTTTATCTGGGTTCGATTTTTTCCGGGGGGCTGTGCCGCCCCCCTAGCCCCCCCCCCTGCCTACGTGCCCAGTCATCGATCACTATCAGTACAAGATTCCTATCTTCCGTTTACTTTTCATAGTCCCCCTGTTTTGTTTGACTGACTGCAGTCTAAACCACAGCCCAGTTACAGGCGACCATTGGACTAGGGGGCCTTATCTTTTTTCTGGGGTTCGAATGTTCCGGAGGGGGGGGCTCCGCCCCCCTACCCCCCCCCCCCCCCGGCAACGTGCCTGTCATCGATCACTATCAGGTACAGATTCCTATCTTTTTTCCGTTTACTTTTCATAGTCATGTTTTGTTTTCCTTCTCAGTTGAAGGATCTTCAAGGGAAAACAAGTTCTTTTTCACTAGACTCGAAAGAATTTTAGAAACTCAATTAAGAATAATATTTTCGATATGGGGAAATTTTTTATACTCCGAATCTCACATACGATAAAGCTCATACGAATAAAGCACATACGAATAAACTCAATATTGCTTTATTTGTGATAGGCTTGCATCGCAATTTCAAATCGCGCTTGATAGAAAGCGATTCTGGTCTAACACTCAGACTGACCCACGGACCAAATCATCTGGCAAGACAAAAAGATTGGGATTCCCTACGATAAACATACCCCAAATAGATATAGCGATAGTACTGACTAGTAGCTTTTTGCTGAATCGGACGATGGGGTGATCCTAGTCGGGAATGCAGATTTGATTGTAATGTTACGCTGCTCGGTTCTAATTGTTCCATAATGGGTATTATTGAATAAACATGGTTATCCAGTATAAACTTGACTAATGAAGCTACTCAGCGCTCATCAATCAGGTACAAGATTCTATCTTTCCGTTTTATTTATCATGGTCATGTTTATGTTTAACCTTCTAGTTTGAAGTTGAAAGATCTCAAGGGAAACAAGTCTTGTCACAGAGCTCGAAAGAATTAGAAACTCTTTACAGATAATTTTTCGATATGGGGAAATGTTTTATACCCGAATCTCACAACGGATAAAAGCTCATACAAATAAGCACATACGAATAAAGCCTCAATATTGGCTTTTTATTTGTTATAAGCTTGCACGCAAATTTTCAAATCGAGCTCCGATTCTTGGTCTAACACTCTAACTTATGGTCTAACGTTATGGTATAATCTGATCTAACTTATGGTCGATCAGGTCGGCATCACCCAGCAAAAAGAGGAAAGCCGGATCAACAACAAGAAACCGACGAGTAGACGGCCCCGTACCCAGGTGGTTAACTTTGGTGCTAACAACTTAAGGGGAGCCGTGAATAAGGCCCAAGAAGTCCACTGAGAATTCAAGTAAACATTTTAAGAAAATATTTAAGGTTTTAAGCATAATGGGTTTTGTTTGATTAATCATGTGTATATATGATTAGAAACATATGTTTATTGTTTAGCTATGAATCACAGAAAGCAAAAAGAAAACGGGAAAATATTTCGAACGGGAAGTTCTTGATAAATTTAAGGGAATTTCGTTTGTTAACCGTTTTTTCTTTGAAACGATTCCAATTTTCCAGCAGAGAAGTATATGATACAAGCCCAGCGAAAGATCTTTTGAAAACTGAATATCATACACCACAAAAAGATTGAATGTCGACCCTCTTATTTCATAATGAAAGAATAATAGTAATACAGTCCCCCGCAGAAAACAAATCTTAAAACAGCTTTGAGATCAACTGTATAAATTGTATAAAAAACAAAGTGAACAGTTGATGGATAAACGACTTAAAAAACCGTTTCCCGAAATTGGAGGTTAAAGCACTGGCAGTCAAGCGTTAAGCGTTTGCGTGATTTTTATCGACTTTTTCGACATGAACGATAAAATATTCTATTTAGATACACTGGTAGACTAAGAATGACAGTGGTGTAAAATTGCAATGTGCTACTCTCCTGCTGCGTTTCAAGAAAAATTCGATTCAAATTAAACTAATGTCAATATGACCAGCTTGTCAGGCCTCTCACAGCGAATAATTTCCGACGAACTGTCCAGATTTCTCGTAAACCCGGGATTTAAACCTTCCTCGTCCTCGCCAAATTTCAACATCCGGATGACCTATATTTTGACTTAAATCTGCTCGAAGGTTGTAAATAAGTCGGTAAATATGAAGTCTCGTACGAATTAATACAGCAAAGAAGCCCCAAGAAAACCCGTCACAGATAGGGAAGAAAGTAATGAACAAAAACAATTGGTCTTCGTGGTGTTGATTAATGATTAAAAACGCTCGGTATCTCGTCCCAGGCTGAATCGTGAAGTTTTATTGTAACTATATCGTTTTGGGATTAGTGGGTTTCACGTTAAAATTGATGGACCATGCATGTTTAAGTCACCTTTTTTGGTTTGATTACAACTGACGCATAATTAAGAATTAACAGTAGGAGCCGGCCACTGGCGGAGCTGAAGATGATCACGTGCGCACTGTGATGTAGTGGCACGATCTCATGAGTAATTACAGTGTTCACAAAATCAATAAAAAATATGTGTCGTCAGGAAATTAATTTTAAAAGTTCTATCCAATCGCGATATTGACATGACGATCATGTTTACAAACCAAATTATTGATGACATTAAGCATGCATGTTGTGGATTTTGCTGGGGGAAGGAATGCCTGGGCGGGTTACGACCCACCATTTTGAAATTAACAAAAGTTTCTTGTCCCAGATTCGAAGGTTACCAAGAAGAAGTAAGAAGAAAAAGAGCAACAGCAGAATCTCAAGAAGCTTGAAGATGTTTAAGAAACCAAACCCGACGAGATTGTTCCTTCTAATTAGAGACCCTGTTTGTGGCTGACATGAAGTTGAACAGTTCACATGAGGCTTATAAAAAATAGAAATAAAGGTAGATAATGCTATTATTTTAAATAACTAGCTCGTTCGTTAGGTTTGTCGTGTCCTAAAACAGAAAAAATGTTTTCCCTTTTGTTATTGAAAACAATATTGTTTAATCATCCCGGTAACACACGTTGAACCTGCGCTAGCCGCAATGTTCATTGTGAACTGAAATGCGCTTAGTATCACCCCAAACTCATCCACGAATGATATTTGTCTCTTAACCAAGATAGCACATCAGTAGCCCCCTGGTAGACTGCAGTACCCCTTCAGACCTGCAGATGAACTGCTGCCCGTCCCATCTAAAACAAAATGATCCTGATAGGATAACAGTTCCCCCGACTATCCGGAGAAGAACCACCTCCTCCTGCACAGGCTTCGCCAAGAAAGGTATGTAGCGCGAGATCTTGAATACACTTTTTACATGGTTTGAAAATATAATCGTTATACATCTAAATATAGATGAAGACCTGAAAATAAATGACGTACCCATAAAATCGGTAACAAATATCAAGAAACTGTTGGCTTATAATGTACATAATTGGCTATGTGGCCGATAACTATTTCCACTAAAAGATGACTAAATGTCTGTCTTGCAATGGTTAGATTAAAAAGAGGGGTAAAAGCTAACGAATTGGATCTAGTTTGATAGGAACCGTTTTACCGGGAACTACTCCGGCCCTACCAGACGTTTTTACTATTTTATAATTCTTACGTATTGCTTGCAAACTGATAGACCAAATACTCCAAGGGTATAATATGCAAATTTGTGATGCAGTTTCCCTTTCAGTTTCCCTGAATCAAGACAAGAAGGTTTTTATGACCGAATACCAAACGTCTGCAACAGAGGTTCCTCTCCAGGACCACCTGCCTCTCATTAACCAACCTCACCCCACCCCCGGCTCCATTCCACGTGTCTTCACACCCCCCACGTGTCTTCACACCCCACACGTGTCTTCACACCACCACGGGAAGTCTTTCCAATGCCCTACCTGCCCCTCCAGTAACGCACGAAGTTTGTTGCTGTTTCCTAACAGTAAAGTGTCGTCAACCAACAACCCAGCCAAGCATGGGGACAAGTGAATTACCTAAACGCGAGAGCAGCACCATTTGCTCCCAAATCTTCTTCTCTCCACATTTTCAAACAGTAATGTTGACAGTAGGACCGTACGCCATAAAACCACCTGTCAACACCCCTATTTCGCATTCCCAAAGGCCAAGCGGCACAAATCACGACCACAAATACCAAAAATTTCCATTAAGCCTGCTAGAATTTCTAAAGCAGTATATTATCCAGAAGAAAGTTTTGAGGTAAATGGATCTCTGATCAAAAAACGGTGGAGGTCCCAATCCACATACTTCTCCTATGAACGCTGACAGATTCCTGAAATGGTAACTAACCATTTTTATGCATATGTTTAGAGTTACAGTCGCTAGATAATTAATCATACAAAAAATTCAGTGAAATGGTTTAAACTTTAAATCGCTCTTATCAATACTGCGTTGATATTTGGTGAGGTGCTATTAAGTGGTATAATTCAACTCGATTTGATACCTATAGATTTCTATTATGACAATGACCATAGCTGCAATTTGTGTAATCTGCAACTCCTTATAAACTCTCTTTAAATACTCTTGTAAATTCTTTGTAAACTCTTTGTAAACTCCTTTGTAAACTCTTGTAATCTTTTAAAACTCTTTAAAAAACTCTTTGATAAAGACTATGTCCCACAGAGAGGGTGGTGAAGGTAACATTACACCACGTCCGGACCTGACCTGCAAGTACCTGTTTCCTGCAAATCCTCTCTCTGATCTCAGGAAAATGAGCCTCCAGGCAAGCTTCCGGAGGTACATGGAAGAGTTGGGGGCGCTGGTAATGCCCACAAGTGGGAAATACCATTGATATCGGGCTATCGGTTAGAATGCCTTGGTTTTCCCCATTTTTTTTTTTATTTTCCTATTTCATTAAACAATTGTTTTGTTCTACTATATCGGTGAGAGAGGTTTCTTAAAATATGGCTTTTGCTCTATTGACCTCATAACACCGGTCAAAATTAGATAGTTTTTGACAATGTGGAATCTGATTGAAAAGCGAGACCATTTTGATTTTTGGGCAGCAATAATTGTTGGACGTGGGTATCGAGAGAAATTGGTCAAATTAAATCGAAATCAAATCAAGAAAAATGGCATTTACATCATCACTACATCTAAAAACAGATGTCTCCTAATTCGTTGTCAAAAAAAATCAAGGGAAATTTAAAACGCTAATCAAGACATGCCCCCTGCAGAAACTGGAACACTGAAAGTCTCCTTTCAAGCGATACAAAGATCCGCAGGAACTTCTTCCAGGACAATACGAACAACATATTTTATTTTGAATTATTCTTTCTACCGGATATTCTCTTTTCCCATTTTCTGCGGATATATTTATGACAGACTTAGTCTTGTGATCCCCTCTCGTGACGCCAAATACTTTGATAATAAACGTGGTGCGATTAAGGATTTTCTATAGAAAGGGATTTGAACTAGTTTGCTAACTAAAACTCAATATCATGAATATGTTTATCTGTTAGCTGTAATACCATCACTGATTTTTAATGCGCTTACGGACAAAAGATCCAGCCGGAAAAATCGTAGGTGTACTGGATAAACATAACCATAAATATAAAGGGGTGAAGTTTTAAAAAATTTTTTTAAAATTAAAGAGGGAAATTTGGTGGGGGTTTAAAGGGGTCAACAACTCAACAGATATTGGTACTGAGACGTCTTATAGAGGGTGTCAAGAGTCGGAAACTGCCAGCTGTTCTGACATTTATAGACTTTAAGAAGGCTTTCGACAGTGTACATCGTGGGAAAATGCTAAAGATTCTAGAAGCTTACGGCATTCCAGTCAAAATCGTGCAGCTTATACGGCTCATGTACGAGAAGACAATGGCCAAAGTCCTAACTCCAGACGGAGAAACTGAATTGTTCGAGATACTTGCAGGTGTGTTACAGGGTGATACCTTAGCACCTTACCTCTTTGCAATAGTCATCGACTACTGTATGAGGCAAGCCATAGGCGATGATGCGGAGCGACTTGGACTCACCCTCGAACGTAGAAAAAGCAGAAGAGTGGGGCCCAAGATCATCACCGATGTGGACTTTGCAGATGATATAGCACTTATATCTGAGGACATGGACAAGGCTAACGAGTTCCTGCTCAGAGTAGAATCGGCGGCAGCAAGCGTGGGACTACACATAAACGAAGGCAAGACCAAGGTCATGACACTGAATATGGAGGATCGATCTAGCGACCTACAAAGTCGATCCGGGGAAGCCATAGAAAATGTAGATGATTTCATCTACTTAGGCTCCTGGATTGAGAGCACAGATAGGGAGATAAGGGTTAGAAAGGGAAAAGCGTGGGGTGCCCTACATAGACTGAAGGATATCTGGAAATCCAAACTGTCAAAGAGCCTAAAGATTAGATTGTTCATAGCGGCTTGTGAATCAGTACTGCTCTACGGATCAGAAACCTGGACACTGACAAAGGCTCAAGAGAAAAGTTTGGACGGGACATACACAAAGATGTTGCGTATGGTGCTGGGTATCTCATGGAAGGACAAGGTCAGCAATATAACTTTGTATGGTAGCCTCCCAAGGCTGTCAAACAAGTTACGAAGCAGGAGATTAAAAATGGCGGGACACTGCATCCGACATCCTGAGCTACTTGCCAGTGATTTAGTCTTATGGGAACCTACGCACGGTAGAGCACAGCAAGGCCGACCAAGACAAAGCTACTTGTCTATGTTACTGAAGGAAGTTGGGACAAACTCTAAAGAGGAACTGCGAACCCTGATGCGGGACAGGGATATATGGAGGGGGTTTTCTGGCGTAGATCGGACTTAGCTCCGACATAGTAGTAGTGTAGAACCTTCTCGCAGTGCAGTGAGTGCTCACAGTGCTAACTCTTACTGTGAGACTGTAGAACCTTCTCGCAGTGCAGTGAGTGCTCACAGTGCTAACTCTTACTGTGAGACTGTAGAACCTTCTCGCAGTGCAGTGAGTGCTCACAGTGCTAACTCTTACTGTGAGACTGTAGAACCTTCTCGCAGTGCAGTGAGTGCTCACAGTGCTAACTCTTACTGTGAGACTGTAGAACCTTCTCGCAGTGCAGTGAGTGCTCACAGTGCTAACTCTTACTGTGAGACTGTAGAACCTTCTCGCAGTGCAGTGAGTGCTCACAGTGCTAACTCTTACTGTGAGACTGTAGAACCTTCTCGCAGTGCAGTGAGTGCTCACAGTGCTAACTCTTACTGTGAGACTGTAGAACCTTCTCGCAGTGCAGTGAGTGCTCACAGTGCTAACTCTTACTGTGAGACTGTAGAACCTTCTCGCAGTGCAGTGAGTGCTCACAGTGCTAACTCTTACTGTGAGACTGTAGAACCTTCTCGCAGTGCAGTGAGTGCTCACAGTGCTAACTCTTACTGTGAGACTGTAGAACCTTCTCGCAGTGCAGTGAGTGCTCACAGTGCTAACTCTTACTGTGAGACTGTAGAACCTTCTCGCAGTGCAGTGAGTGCTCACAGTGCTAACTCTAGATTAAAGAGATGAAGATACAGCGTGTCCCACAGTGCTAAAGAGATGAAGATGCAGCGTGTCCCACAGTGCTAAAGAGATGAAGTTACAGCTTGTCCCACAGTGCTAAAGAGATGAAGATACAGCGTGTCCCACAGTGCTAAAGAGATGAAGATACAGGCGCTGTGTCCCACAGTGCTAAAGAGATGAAGATACAGCGTGTCCCACAGTGCTAAAGAGATGAAGATGCAGCGTGTCCCACAGTGCTAAAGAGATAAAGATACAGCGTGTCCCACCGTGCTAAAGAGATGAAGATACAGCGTGTCCCACAGTGCTAAAGAAATGAAGATACAGGCGCTGTGTCCCACAGTGCTAAAGAGATGAAGATACAGGCGCTGTGTCCCACAGTGCTAAAGAGATGAAGATACAGGCGCTGTGTCCCACAGTGCTAAAGAGATGAAGATACAGGCGCTGTGCCCCACATTGCTAAAGAGATGAAGATACAGCGTGTCCCACAGTGCTAAAGAGATGAAGATACAGCGTGTCCCACAGTGCTAAAGAGATGAAGATACAGCGTGTCCCACAGTGCTAAAGAGATGAAGATACAGGCGCTGTGTCCCACAGCGCTAAAGAGATGAAGATACAGGCGCTGTGTCCCACAGTGCTAAAGAGATGAAGATACAGCGTGTCCCACAGTGCTAAAGAGATGAAGATGCAGGCGCTGTGTCCCACAGTGCTAAAGAGATGAAGATACAGGCGCTGTGTCCCACAGTGCTAAAGAGATGAAGATACAGGCGCTGTGTCCCACAGTGCTAAAGAGATGAAGATACAGGCGCTGTGTCCCACAGTACTAAAGAGATGAAGATACAGGCGCTGTGTCCCACAGTGCTAAAGAGATGAAGATACAGGCGCTGTGTCACATACAGCGTGTCACAATTTGATTAATTACCCCAGCTAGTGTTGTTCCCTCATCATCAACAACTCCCTGCAATTTAATATGTTTTATCCACCACTTAGCGCCCCGTATTCTGAGGACGGACCAATCAGAACACGTGCTCCCAATCACGTGACCAAGAGTTTGAGAGAGAGATCACTAATTTAATTAGTAGATTATAGAGAAGGTCACAACCTCCTAGCTTTGTCGCGGGCTGGTGATGAAGGAGCGGTGGGTTTTCTCATCTATCTCTTAACTAATGTTAACTTAATGGTTTCATTATAGCTGTTAACGTTTGTGCTATTGCCTGGTGACTGTTACCCTGGTAACTGGTTTGTGCTATTGCTTAGCAACAAGACCACAACTTTTATCGTTTTTACTTAGTCGTTAAAGCGTTACTTTCGATATCGTTACTTGCGATATTTGTAAACCACGCAATTTATCAGGTGGGTATTTGGTGATATGCTAAGTGTTTACGTAAATTGTGAATACATATTACTAACTAGGTAAACTAGGTTACCTAGTTACTAACTAGTTACCTAGTTACTAACTAGTTACCTAGTTAATAACTAGTTACCTAGTTAATAACTAGTTACCTAGTTACTAACTAGTTACCTACCTTAGTCGGTAATATTATGGTGGGTCTAATTTGGTCCTTTTTCGGGGTATTTTTACCACCAATAATTTACCCCCCCCCCCCCCCCCCCCCCCCCCCCCCCCCCCCCCCCCCCCGAGTCAAATTTTGGTGTCCCTTTTGGTATATCAGTCATAATATGCTTAACGTTTCTTTCATTCATGTGGTGCAGGCCACTCTAACGACTAGGAGGAGACCTTTTCAAGTTTCTTTCATTCACGTCCAGAAGTATGCTTACGTTATTGTTTGCTGAATTGAAGATAGTTCTGGTTCAAACTAGAGCTACTGTTTAAAAAGGTATGGGAAGAAGAGGTGAGAAGAGGTGATCCCTGAAGATTTATTAAAGGGGGTTATAGTGGTTATCGAAAAGAAGGGAGACACCTCATACTGCTGCAATAATAGGGGTATAACTCTTAGGGCAACGTCTTCTAAGGTTCTTCAAATGGTTCTTCTTAAGAGGCTGGATGTTGGAATGGAGTGTCTTCTTAGGGAAAATCAGTGTGGGTTCAGGCGGAACCGCTCATGTATTGATCAGATTTATTCCATCCGCACCATTATTCACAACTGTATTGAGTTTAACATTCCACTTTATGTTAATTTCATTGATTTTAAGCGTTTGATTCCATCAGAAGATAGTTTAATTGGTCAAGCATGAGACACTATGGACTTCCTGAGAAATATGTTAGAATCTTTCAGGCATTTTTCAACGGGACCATGAGTGCTGTCAGGGTTAATGGTAAAATGTCTGATTGGTTCTCTGTTAATTCAGACACTG